GAAAGAAAATAAAATAGTAATATATCTAGGGGAACAATTATAAATGCTTCTATCATAAATATCATATCATATCATCATATCATATAATTTGACCAACGAATGTATCTAGTGAAATATAAAAATCGAATGTGGACCTACTTATTTTTCAATTGAATGTAATTGACTACCTAATTGAGTGACACCTAAACATGGGGTCTTTCTTAATTATTACAAAATTGAGGATACAATTTTTTAAATGTTTCTCTTTTAATATATAAGGGATATAATTCCCAATTCTTAATATGTATATAAACCTCTAAAGAATCATCTTGATAAACCAACGATTTACTAACTTTAGAGAAAGGAAAAAAGTTGCTGCACTTTCCTACAAATCAAAATTTAAACATAAGCTGGTATCTATCACCCGTGAAGCTCCTGATTGAATGTAACTGGATCCTTCAAGCTTCAAGCAGCCTCCTCACTGAAAAATATTACCTGCTCATCTCTGTGGCTGATTTGTAACCAACAGAGAACCGTGTACCTGCAACTCAAAGTTCTTTAACAGAGAATAAAAAGATGTGTGTTTTTGTTTTTTTTAGGAGCAGCAATAACTTAAGCTCCGGCATTGCCCACTTCATAGGTTGCGACTCCCCTAAGCCAAGTTAAGATCACTTTTAAGATTATGAAATTGATATTATCTCTAACAAGAATCTTGGTAAAGTATATAACGAGTCTTACTTCCATAAAAGGAGGCAGCATTGTCATACAAAGTAGGAGCACCAGATCATGAGTGTCTTCCATCAGATCCTCCACTGAATCTGAAATCACAAAAACTAGAAGGCTTCAGACTTTTACAAACATATTAAAGATGAACTAAAACTGTGACAGTATATCAGTTATAGCTAGGAAGGAGCATATTAAAGATGAACTAAAACTGTGACACAACAAGGAGCACTGACCTGTCAAATTTGTAACCATGAAGAAGAGATTCAGCAAGAACAGTCTTAGTGAAAGTAGCCAAGCACCCAAACAATTAAAGCTAAGCTCTGTTACAGAGGCCAGAAGAATCCCTCCAACAATGGTGACAAGAGATGCCCAAATACACAAGTCAAAGCACTTCCTTCACACCAGCCACTGTAACACAACGGCTCAAAACACAGACAAGAAACAATCAGAGATTCTCTTGAAGCTACAACCTTTAGAACAATCAGTATTAAAGCTATTAAAGCTACAACCTTTAGAACTCACTCAAAACACAACAAGAAACAATCAGAGATTCTCTTGAAGCTACAACCTTTAGAACAATCACTATCGTCTAAGCACGAAAGTTCAAGGAAGAGAAGAGAGAAAAAAAAACCTTTAGAACCAAGATAAACATCAAAATCTAATTGCTATATCAGATATTTAGATCAGCCAACAACGGAAGAGAAGAGAGAATGAAACCTTCCAAGAACAGTAACGAGAGTGTTGAGGTAAGTATCAATCATCTGGTCCCTCGCTGGCGCAGGATCCTTGGGGAACTCCAGGAAGCATTAACGTCACCCTCTGCTCATTACTACGAGTAATCCGAATTCACAGTCGCAGCCTTGACAATCGCCACCCGACGGCAAGACTCGGCGGTGGAGATGCTCCGGATCAGAGGATGATTCCATTTCCCGACAAGGCGGATGCTGGAGATTGTAGGGAAGCGTGTAATTTGGCTTACGGTATGTAGGGTTTTGGGGATGAGCGAGGAAGAAGAAGAAGATGTCGTGAAGGATGTCATTGCAGCTGAATTGATTTTCTTTTGGTGTGTATCAATCAAGGTTAAAGATTAACTTAAAATATCTATACTATTAAAGCAGACGACTGTTTTGGTTTCTGCCTCTAAACTTTCTATGAAATTACAAAATATTCCATTTCACTTTCTTTTTAAACGAAATTGTGGACTGAAAATAACAAATAACTTCAAACAGCAAAGCCCAAACGAAATGGGAGGTTTAGAGGTACATTTTAAACCCAAACTATTATCTTAATATGCATAATTTCTTACTCTACATGTTAGTTGAGTACTAATTTTAAAATTATGGTTTATTTGTATTTATTTAATTTAGTAGTATTGATGACCATTTGTTTTTTATATATGCTTCAGGAGAGTTACAAGTCTCTAATTCATTTGATTCATCTTTGGTGTTGATAAACCCAGAAATCTCTGAAGCACATGCTCTTAAACAAAAGCAAGCTCTTCTTTACAAGATAATACAAATTGTTCAAAATTATAATCAAATAATTATATTTACATTATATTCTCTTTTTGGTTTGATGGTGAAAATAGGTCTACTGTAATTTACAAACCTACAGAAGCCAATTTTCTGATCCAGCAGAAACGCAAGAAATGGTCTCAATTTCCATTCAAAACCATTCAGCAAATTAAACGAACAGATAAGGTTTGGTTCTCTTTGCTATTTGTTATTTGTAATACACAATATTAATACAATTTTCGTTTTTGTAGAGTGGATATTCCAGAGTTATTTGTACTGTTTATGCAATTAGTACCGATTGTCCATGGTATTATTGTGCTTGTGTGGTATGCAACCATGAGGTTACGAAAATGACTATTTCATTTAATGATCTGGACGTACCAGACTGGTGGTGTGAGGGTTGCAGTTGTATTGTTACCAAAGTTACACCAAGGTAATTAGGTTATTCCTAAATCTGATCGTACTATATACTTATTTATTACTTATTTTATATTGTGTAATGCTAAAACAATGTTAGTGATTATTGTTTTCAGGTACAAGTTGAAATTGCTTGTGCAAGATCTAACAGGTGAGTCAAACTTAATGCTTCTAGACGCAGCCGCAAATACTATTATCAATGCCTCTGCAGCAAAACTCTTAAATGGTTCTTATAATAAGGTTATCAACTACTTAATACAGTTTTTATAAGAACATTTTATATCATCTGAGATTCTTACTACATTCAATCTTACTATATTTAACAGATTGAAAATCCTGAATTACCAAGTGAGATTGTGGAGATCGTAGGAAAGACTTACGGCTTTGGGATATGCGGAGATGATGAAAACAATGTTTGTGGAGCAGAAACGTTTGAAGCCTTGAAAGTTTGGAATCTTGATAACATTCTAAGGAAGAGAATCAAGTCATTGCACCAGTTATCTACGAAGAAACAATTCAGTGTCAGAGGAATTGAAAAAAATGTCTAATTATGAAGCCAAAGACAAGAAGAGCAGCTAATTCTATCCTGAAGACAAGATCATCATCAGTTTTTTTTTTATGTTTTACTTATGCTATGGTTTTACGAATTGAATAATGTTGTTTATGCTTTCTTTCTACTTTGGTTTTTTGTGGCTTTAATGAACGCATCAATAAAGTTTTCGATCGAACTACCAATACTAAAATCAAACTCCGGTTTCTACCAATAAAGCTGAAATCTGGTCAATTGTAACGAACATAGTATAATATATATCAGGAGATGACTCAAACAACTATCAATATTGAAGATTATTGTCGGCAGAATTTGTGTCTTTTGACTTTATCAGAATCCTATTTTTTTTAAAATTAATATTGACGGGTCAGTTTTTTTAGTCAATATACTTTTGGGCCCGTTTATAGTATCTCGCAGGCCCAACTATTTTTGCACCAAATCGATAGCATTGCCATATATTTGAACCAATTTTAATATATACTAAACCAATGTACCTAAGAACCCTAATAACTCCACGTGAAGAATTATTTAAGCCGCTTTAACAGAAAGTTCTTCTTTACAAAAACTTTTCACAGAGACAAAACCAGGAAATATGGCCAACGAAGTTCCTTTGAATTCATTGCAATACCAATGTCCAACTCAGGAAAAGGTATAATAATTTTATTATTGTTTGGCCCGCAGACTTTAATTACATCTTCAAAATATTATTGTGTTTGAAAATATGTTTCAGGGATCAACAGTCAAACATTTTGTCCATCTTGATGATCAAGATAAATCCAAATTTTTGGTATGGATGGAAAATAACAAATTACGTGTTGATGTAGAAGATTTTGGGAATTCAGATCGCAGTGCCAAAGCAAATTTTGTTTGGAATCCAATTTCTAAAACGTGGGAATCAGAATTTGAGATTGTTCGGATCACACNTTTCAGGGATCAACAGTCAAACATTTTGTCCATCTTGATGATCAAGATAAATCCAAATTTTTGGTATGGATGGAAAATAACAAATTACGTGTTGATGTAGAAGATTTTGGGAATTCAGATCGCAGTGCCAAAGCAAATTTTGTTTGGAATCCAATTTCTAAAACGTGGGAATCAGAATTTGAGATTGTTCGGATCACACAGACAACTATATGTGGCTGTCTCCACTCTACAGAGTGACTTCTAAGAAAGGTTTGAAGATTTTAATTGTTGACAGCGAAGGCAAGCCTCAACGCAAAACAAAGAACGTGGTCTTTATAGAGGTTTTCGATACTCTATGATTTGAAGTTTTTTATTAAGTTATTTAGAACTATAAAATCTAAATTTTTGGTTATTTATATTGACTCGCGTATTGGTTCTATATTACTAAGTTTATCGTAAATTGTTTTCGAACTTTTGGAAAAGTTCGATACTTAAAAGGATTCTAAATTTTTGATTCATGATAAGGAAAACACAGAATTGATGAGGCTCGAAAGCCTCAGTACCATGCAATGACTGTTTCTAACAAAATAACACATTAAATGCCAGAAAGTCAGATGCCAGCTTCATCTCTATAAATCTTTAACATACACTGCACTCAACTGTAGGAAAGAGCTACACTGCAATCAAGATTCATCAAACAAACTTCCAGATTATTTTCCTAACTACAAGTTTAAGTTCTAACCCTAATTACTAGGATGTGAAGAAAGCAGAAAATGCACTTACTGTGGTTTGTATTCCTTTGCCGTAATATCGAATATCCCATGTCCTTCAAATGATTAAAGCTCCTTCTCTATTAAAGGAAGTGCTCGACCTACACATGAAGCATGTCTATACTATTAAGTAAACTCATTATTGTATAAAACTTATATGTTTCTCATGTATAAGCCAAAAAATAAGCTAAAGTCGTAAACTTATTTGTTTACTGCTCTATCTTTGATAATAGTGTCTCATTATATCACCTGAAAACAAAACGCAGTTATATGAACAGCCTTTTATGCTACTGGAAAAGGAAATTCTGAGAAGATTGTTAGGAAATCATTCCAATCTAACCTGAGTAAGAAATCTAGAAAAAGCAACGTGTATATTTAGAATTTTGTCTCATGTCCTCATCAAGAATGTAGATATGTCTCGAAAACCTTGACTTCTCAATCTGCCTCAAGTCCATCATCATATTGTTGTGTATCAGAGTATGAAGATAAAGAAAACAGATTAGATATAATTTTTTGTATTCTACAAACCTATACTATTAAAACAGATTTATTATTCAAATATAATAGATTTAATTGGAAATAGGCGTGTATATTTAGACCAGAAAACAAACCGTTTAATTCTTTCTCATAATTTCTTTCGGACAAACGATTTTAAATTAAAGGATAATTATTAAAAAAGTACATCGATTATCCTAAACAAACCTTTACATGGAGGTTATGTTTATGTCTTTCCTTGGTCGATCAAGCTCTGGATGTTTTTCCAGATCGATTTCACCGAATTTCACATGCAAAACAAATCAAAATAAAATATATATTGATGGTAAGTTCTTTAAATTAATCATATTTAACTGAATTTCACATGAGATTACCTATACCATTTCGTTGTATAGATCGGAAAGGCTCATCTCTCAGTCTTCGATTTATCCTTCTCGATTCAGATCTTGAATTAGACGAGATCTGTAAAAGAATGAAATACAAAACTTAGAAAGAAAGATCGAAATTTAAAGGTAATCGATTTAGAAATACTAAGTGTATATTATCAAAAAGAAAAGTGGTGTATTATATGTAAGAAGAGATCGGAGAAGACAACCTTCTGTAGGTGGATCTAGATCGACATATCGCCTTTCTGGTTCCAGAGAGAGAGACGTTTTTTTTTTTCCAAAGCGAATACTTGTTGGTAATAAAAAATCAGATGTTGTCGGTAAACAACATATTTGTGTATTGTGTTTAATCAAATAGGCCCATCGTATGTTTCTCAGATTTGGCCCATTATCTGTTAAGGTTTTAAAAATATTGGGTCCTTAAAATTATTATGGATTGAAATTCATATTAAATTTTACAGCCTATTATTAAGTTTGGTACAAATAATTTTTATATATTATTTGTATTCAAATTTTATTATTAAGTTTGGTAAAATTCATAACTGTATAACTAATTCTAATTAATATAATTTATGAAAATTACCAAAAAAATAGATTAAATTAACATAAGAATCAAAAAAATGTATAATCTAATTCAAATTAATATAATTTATAAAAATTACCAATTACATAGATTAAAAAAGAAAAAAACAGCATTTTGACAATACAAACATTTTGTATAGATTAAAAATTAATGTAAACATAAAAAAATCATCTTCTAACTAAAATCATTAACACACTTGGTATACATTTTATATAAAAACACATTTGTTATAATAAAAAATAAATGTCACATGAAACATACCCGCGCTTCCAAAGCGCGGGTCAAAATCTAGTTTCTGATTAAAATTGGAGATATTTGACATTTACGATAGCTTTTAATTTTGGATCTATAATGGTAAAGTGCCTGCACTTAGTAAATGAACATGGCTAAANACACTTGGTATACATTTTATATAAAAACACATTTGTTATAATAAAAA